TGTCCCCTTTAAACAAATCTGAAGGGTGCCGGGCGAAATTTTTGGGCAGAAATTGTTTAAACAATTTTTTTAAACGAATTCCAAAAATATTTATTTTATCTGCATAAACGTTTTTTTAGGTTTTTTGGGTCATTTTAAACAAAAAAGGTCTCTTGTTGTTTTTCTCTAAAGTTGATAGTTTTCGAGTTATAAACGATTTAAAGTCTGAAAAGCGCGAAAATACGCATTTTTGAGGCTTGAAAACACATATGTAAATTATTATTTTCGAGTTTACCAAGCGTCCAAGTTGAAGATTAAACATTCAACTTCAAGATTCTGAAGAGTAATCGGGGCTTATTTTAATTTAGACCGTTGTTCTCAATAAATAATAAATATTTGTAAGTATATGTAAACTATGCATAAGTACGATAGAGGCGCACGGTAGCGCGCGGCGCCGCGGCGGCTGAGAGTGCGCTTCTATCGTACTTATGCATAGTTTACATATACACTTACGCAAAAAAAACCGAACAAATCCTTGAAGTTTATTAACATAGTTTTTTCCATAATTTATTTATGTATGTATTAATTATTGTCATTGGGCTAATTAAATAAATCAATCATCGCAATGTAATAACCGTATATAGTTTTTTTTTTTCCAAATTTGAACAATATAATTATTATTTATTGAGTATATATTTATTTATATCAATTGTAAATAATATTTTTAAATTATTATTTAAATAATACAATGCAGTAAATATTAATATTAGTAAACTTAATTTTAAATTGCGCGGTGTTTAAAAACAATATACTATCGCAAAAATGCAAGTTTTTACCTGTTTAACAATCGCGCGCTCATACTTGATTTGTTATTACTTAAACGATCATTAGGAAGACTATTGTTTAATGCCCATTAAAAGGGTATTATATTATTAATGTGTTATTAAAAAAATTGTGAATGGATTTAAAATGTCTTTTTCCGTACCTCTTCTTAAATGAAAACTTACCGAAGAAAATTTAGTTTGTATTTTTTGTAATAACATCAACAATATTAAGTTAGTGCAAAAACCTAAAGTAGATTTTTACATAACAATACAAAATGCTGCTCTTCGACGAAAAGACAGTGTGACTGAAAAATTTAATTTAATCTAGCCAATATACCTTGTACCTCTGACGCACTTTACCAACACTTGTTAAGAGCTTTCGCTAAAACATATATTTGGCGAAATGCCATATATTCCCGCTATCAAACTCTCGATTTTACACAATATGGATATTATATGTCTGATAGTGGTGGGTTGGGAAACCGTGCAAATGCAAAAAGACTTGCAAAACTAATGCTTGCAACTGCAAGAAAAATCATGTCAACTGTGTACCATTATGTGGATGTGATTTAGATTTTTGTGAAAACAAAGATACTTTTACTGAGTGATATTAGTGTGTTATTTAACAATCTTTTGTACAATTATTTTATGTAACTATTATTAGACTTTAGACGAAATTTATATTATAACTCAATTGATATAAATAAATATATACTCAATAAATAATAATTATTTGTAAGTATATGTAAACTATGCATAAGTACGATAGAGGCGCACGGTAGCGCGCGGCGCGGCTGAAAAATCGAGTGTACGCGCATACTTAACAATTAAAAAACAACGGTCTAAATTAAAATAAGCCCCGATTACTCTTCACAATCTTGAAGTTGAATGTTTAAACTTTAATTTAGACACTTGGTAACCTCAAAAATAATAATTTACATATGTGTTTTCAAGCCTCAAAAATGCGTATTTTCGCGTTTTTCAGACTTTAAATCGCTTATAACTCGAAAACTATCAACTTTAGAGAAAAATGACAAGAGACTTTTTTTGTTTAAAATGGCCCAAAAAACCTAAAAAAACGTTTTCCAGATTAAAAAAAATATTTTTGGACTTTGTTTAAAAAAATTGTTTAAACAATTTCTGCCCAAAAATTTCGCCCGGCACCCTTCAGATTTGTTTAAAGGGGACATTTTTGAACCGGAATCCGCGAAGAAACCGAATCAGAAACATTTTCCCAACGGGAGCGGCCTCACAGCCTGGACTAGTTGAGTTTACCGAAAGTACAAGCTGATTATAGCCGCAAATGTCAAACATGGAACAAAAAATTTCGGTATAGCAGTGTTGGCATGTTTTTATAATGTAGATCCTATATGCTTCAAATATAAAAAGATAAAGCTTTAGAAAAGTACATTTTGTTTATATTATGTTATGAATTCTGCAATTTTTGATTTATATAAAACAACAATGAGTAAATATTTGTTTCTTTGGAGATTAATTGCAGTTAATTATTAGATATTTTTTTAGCAATTACCTTTTGATAGACTAGGGGATAGATTTGGCAATCGTCAAATCAGCAGTTGCCAGATTACAACAGATGTTTGCAATTAATCTCGAAAGAGACAAATATCTACTCGTTATTGCTTCATATAAATTAAAACTTGCAGAATTCATAAAATAGTATAATCAAAATGTACTTTTTAAAAGCTTTCTCTCTTTATATTCTTTATAATCTCTTTATATTTGAAGCATACAAATATGCATGATAAAAACATGCCAACACTGCCAAACCGAAATATTTTTGACATTTACGGCTATATTCAGCTTGTACTTTCGGTAAACTCAACCACCTTATATAAATGCTTTCGTTTTTGACGTAAATAAATATTGAAAGCTAAGATTTTAAATCATTTCAATTAACTTCTATGTAGATTGTCAAATGGGTTGCCTATCTTGTAGTCATGATTTTATTTATGTTACTATTATAGTGTAGGCGATTATCATGGATTGATGCAGATAAAAACTTATGATTGGATTTTACAAGTAGTTTGATTGTGTAATTTTTTTGATTATGTTGCCTTACAGTTTCGAGATAAAATGCATAACAATAAAATTGTATGTGTCGTACAATTTTGGACTTTTGTGTTTGGCAACTATCTTAATTTTGCAAATGTATTTGATATAAGCAGCGTTAAACATGGTATATGACTAGTATATTTTACGTACAGAAGACTATGGCATAAGAGTTGGTCTATTTAATGAAGAAATTAATAAAGTAGCAAAAAAAAACTGGTTAGGAGAGTGTGGGATACAGTGGTCACTTTTAATTTTAAAATAATTTAAAACCAGGTGCATGCTGCTATCCAGTTACAAAACTTTCCCCCTTCTGTTTCGATCTAGGAGTGTTTATTATATTTATGTTGATAATGAAGTTTTTGCTAAAATTTATTAAAAGTGGATGGATAACATCTGATAATTTTATGGAATGGTTAGAACATTTTATCCACTATGTAAAATCTTTGAAGGAGTCTCTTGCTTTTGCTAATTATGGACAATCATAAAATTCATAACAATATAAAATCAATTCAACATGCAAAGGAAAACAACATTGTTCTATTTACACTGCCGCCACACACAAGCCATCGGCTTGAACCTCTCGATAGGAGCATATATGGCATATATGATTCAGATCAAGAAATTTTACAATCTCTCTTTCTCTCTCTCTCTCTCTATCTCTCTCTCTTTGTCAACCATTTTCCATCCACTCCTGAATTTAGGTCTCTCCCAATTGCTTATATCTTTCTCTATCTTGCGCCAATATAATCCACTGTTTGCCTGCCAACGTTTTTATGTTATCTACCCGTCTTTTTGAGGTCTTCCCATGTTTCTTCTTGTCGTCCTTGGTCTCCACTCTAGAATTCTCAGTATCCACCTGTTGTCATTATATCAGGCTACGTGACCTGTCTAGCGCCATTTCGTTTTTGTTATTTTTTCCACAATATCCCTGATCTTCGTTCTACGTATTATCCCGGTGTCTCTAATCTTGTCTCTCAGTGATTTTTTAAGCATGATTTCTTCCATTGCTCTTTGCGTGTCATTTCATTTTAAATTTTATAAAAAATTTTAAAATGATGCTTGTAAATTGTGGTTATTACCAAATCCTAGAAAGTGACAAACGATCTATGACATTACCAACTGTTTGAGCTTGGCAACAAGTGTATTGTACCTCTCAAAATGGTACGATCTCTCCCCAAGGCTAAACATCAGGAAACGAAAAATGTGGATGAAAAACTAAATACCGACAGTATTATCAAATAGGTCAATGAAAAAAGAAATGGAAGAAACATTTAAAAAATTGAGGAAGAGACTTAAAGATTACATTAGCACTAGCAACATATCAATGGATGACTTAACAGATTTAGAAGATTGCCTTTGTAGATTTTCTGACACATCTTCTGGGATCTTAATCTTTACTACAGCTTAAATAGACGGGAGCACTTTTGTATTAGTTAAATTCGCTACAAAAAAACAGTCAAATTTTATACCGGGCAATTGTAACAAATTATTGATGATGGTGACTATTGCATATAACAATGGTGAATTAAATTGTCAGAAAGTGTCCACTGTGTCCCGCTCTCTCCTACTGATCCTACTGCACATATTTGATATGAAATAAGGACATTGTCCTCTTCTTCAGATGCAAATCCACTAATGGATGTTAGCGATCACATTTTCCATTAACTCTCTATTTCTTGCAATATGTATCAGAGATTGTATGTCGTTAATCCCTGTCCATTGCCTTATGTTTCGGAGCCAGGACATTTTCTTGCGTCCCATTCCTCTCTTGCCTTCAATTTTACCCTCGATTATAAGTTGGAGGAACTGGTATTTTTCATTTCGCATGATGTGAGCTAGATACGCCGTTTTCCTTTTCTTGATGGTTTCGAAAAGTTGGCGTTCTTGGTTTATTCTTGTAAGGACATCTATATTTGTGATTTTCGCTGTCCATGGTATTTTTAGGATACGGCGATAAAGCCACATTTCGAAAGCTTCCAATCTGTTTATATCCCTCGTTTTGAGTGTCCAGCCCTCTACGCCATATAGCAGCACTGACCATACGTAGCACTTAGTAAACCTTAGTCTCAGTTGAAGATCGAAATTCGATCGAAGGACATTGTCAGTGTCAATAAAAACAATTTTTGGATAAAAGACCAGGTATTACTTTATGTGTCGCCGAAATTAGCAATACATTGATGTTTTCAGGTAATAGAGCTTTTTATTAAAAATTATATAACATAACACTGTTAATTTTTCGGTAAACTTTTTACGTTTTTAGATTTTATTTATGAAAATTAATACGCAAATTTTTGATTTAAGTAAATTAATAGCGACCATCTGGTTGGTATCTGGGATCGGGATTTGCCCTAATCCACTCTAGGGCTCTTTGTATAGCTACAGGTATCGGTGGAGGTGTTGGTAAATGTGGTCCGTAAGCTTGGAATCCATTTTCATCTGCAGTGTATGTTAGTGAAATAACGGAATTGTCTGGAGCTGTATAACTGAAGCCTCCTCTTGCTTCCATTGCTTCTTGCTGGCTTCCTCGGTTTTTAAGGCGACCTTCTTCTTCAGCTGTAATTCCATTCTCAGTTGCGTAACTAAAAAATAATAAAGCAATTTGTATGAATTTGTAATTCTACATTTTTTTAGTAAAAATGACACAAACGATCCGAAACACAATTCAGAAATAAAGTGGAGAAAAATGCCTTGTCAGATCGTCTTCTTCTTCCTGTAGTTCCTTCTCCTATCGGAGGTTGGCTATCATCACAGCTATCCGTACCTTATTGGCGGCTGCTCTAAAACGATCTACTGATCCGCAACTATACCACTCTCTTACGTTTCTCAGCCAGGAAATTCTTCGTCTTCCTATGGATCTTTTACCCTTGATTTCACCTTGTATTATGAGCCTTAACCCGTTAGCGCCCAGCGTCCTCGTTTGACGATGGCTTGTTTAGGTGGGGATAAAACAATGTCTGCGTGAATATTTGGTGATTGCTTACCGCAGTGGTTTAGTAGAAGCACTATCGTAGACAGAAGTGTATGTGTCGGCGCTTTATTTTTATTTGACGAGATACTGGCCCAAGGTTAAAAGTACGATTTTCAAGTTTATTGAACTATACTTACATCGACGTGCATAACTTTTTTACTTGCAAAGGTGAGTTCTAAAAATTTGTATTTTTTATTAGGTTAGATCCACAACTTACACAAAAAAATTCAAAAATGACTGCCCAGTAAAAAAAATGTCAAAAAAATTATAAGACTATTATGCGTCCTCAAATGAGGACGCTGGGCAAATTCATATATTTTGTGTAAAAAGTCTATACGGGTATTTTGATTAACTAATTGTTTTTTTTCTATTTTAGGATGAGTCGAAGATATTTTCGTAATCTTGAAGAGGCCATTGATTATTTAAATTCTGAACAAATAGATGCTGATATAGCTGCATTGCCCCCCGAAGTCGATGATTTAACAGACGAGGACGAAATCAATGACGATGAATTAGGCGTTGCTAAGGTGGAAGACATACCCGGAGGGACTGAAGTTTTTATTGAGGAAGAAGATGATCAAAATCTTGATGATGAAGATGACTTACCACTTGTACCAATAACCAAAAGGAAAAAATATGAATCCAAAAAACCGTTTGTACCTAACTGGAGTAAATCGGATCCACAATATGAACACATTGAAAATGAAGGTGCTAAAGAAGTATATGAAAATGTAAAGAGGCAGGTACGTCAATACACTCCACTACAAATTTTTGAAATGTTTTTTGATGAAGTTGTTTACAACCATATCATAACAGAAACACAACGCTATGCTACAGAGCAAAAAAATAAACATGGTTACTCAATAACAGCTGAAGAAATTAAAATTTTTATTGGATTTCTAATTTTTACTGGATACCACCAATTACCCAGCGAGAGGGACTACTGGTCTGAACAAGAAGACTTGGGAATACCGCTTGTAAAAAATGCATTAAGTCGTAATGCATATTTAGAAATAAAGCATCTAATCCATTTTGCAAATAATTCCGAAGCTGACAATAACAAACATGATAAGTCATTCAAAATTAGACCTTTGCTAAATCTTCTAAATGCGCGGTTCCAACAATGGGGAGTGTTTCACCAACATCTATCAGTAGATGAAATGATAGTGAAGTATTACGGCCATAATTCACTAAAACAATTCATTAGGGCCAAACCAATTCGATTTGGTTTTAAACTGTGGGCGCTGTGTGGCGATAATGGTTATTGTTACAATTTTGCTCTTTATTGTGGAAAAGCTTCGGGAGAGGAATCAACTGAGCCTTTAGGTACAAGAGTTGTTTCTAACATGCTGAGTATCGTAGAAAACCCACAGAGACATATTGTATATTTTGATAACTTTTTTACAAGTTACAGTCTCCTTTGCCAATTAATAGCGGTATCGCGCTACGGGAACTATTAGAGAAAACCGAACTGCAAAGTGTCCTACTAAACAATTAAACGACCTACAAAAAGAACCTCGAGGCGCGTATGACTGGTGCTTTGACAAAAACAACAAAATACTAATATGCAAATGGAACGACAGTAATTGTGTTTCTGTTGGAACTAACTATGATACGGTTTTTCCCACCAATCAGGTTCAACGATAAAGTAAGAAGGAAAAAAATAAAGTACAAGTGAGCCAACCATACGCTTTTTCCAATTATAACAAACATATGGGTGGCGTGGATCACCATGACTGGCTATTAGAAAAACACCATATATCTGTCAGAGGAAAAAAATGGTATTGGTGTCTTTTTACACGAATGATAGATATGGCTATAGTAATGGGTGCGTACTGTATAATATAATACATAAAGGAGAAAAAAATATATCCATCAAAGACTAAAGGCGACAAATAGTTACTTCGTATCTAAAACGTGGTCATGGCGTAAGAATAAGCAAAGGTCGACCACTTAGTCTTCCAAGTACATCAAGAAGCAATATCTGTGAAGACATTAGATATGATAGTAAAAATCTCATTATAGCAAAACAAGAAAAACAACGAAGATGTCAAAATCGAAACTGTACGTCAAAACCACGAACATATTGCCAAAAATGTAATGTAGCGCTTTGCGTATCAATTTGTTTTGAACAATTTCATAATAAAATATAGGATTTATATAAATATTTTTTATCTCCATAGTGTATAATATGAAAATAATTTGAAAAACAACTAAATAAACTTATTTTGTTAAACTAAATTTTGTCTTTAATTTTATAGTAGTTGAGCCCAGCGTCCTCAAATGAGGACAGTTGTTTTTCCAAAAATTTGAACACAAAAAACAAAAATTTTGATAGGACATCATTTTGTACCTCAAAATATATTACGAAACAAAAAATTACGTTAAAAATGCAAAAAAAAATAATTTGGGCGTTAATGGGTTAATATCTCATATTTCGCACATATGGTAATGTGGTCTAAATACTCCAGCTTTCTTGTTTTGATATGCTTTATGACTTCGCAGTCCCTTTGTAATATTCTTAACACTTCTGCACCACATCTCAAATGATTCCAACTTCTTTATATTATTCACTTTTAGTGTCCAGCTGTCCATTTGATACAACAAAGTCGAGAACACGTAGCATGTTAAGGCTTTTATTCTCAGATCCAGAGGAAGGTCTCGATTGACATTGTTTTTATTTTTATAAATGCTTGTCTTTCAATTTCAATGCGTGTCCTTATTTCTCTACCTTGGTCATTGTTTTCATTTACTTAGGTTCCCAGATATTTGTAGTTAGTCACTCTTTCTATTTGTTTTTCCTCGTTGTTGTTAGAAATAATCATAAACTTGGTTTTCTTAACATTTATTTGTAGTCCATATTTAATACTGACTTGATGTAATCTATTTACTTAGTTGCAATGCTTCTAGACTGTCTGCAAAAACAGCGGTGTCGTCTGCGAATCTTATGTTGTTTAAGATTTTTCCACATATTGATATACCTTATTGTTCCTCTGATATTGCTTCCTTAAAAATAGCTTCGCTGTACAGATTGAATTAACAATGGGGCAGCACTCAACCCTGTCTAACACCTCTTTTGATTTCTATTGTTTCTGTATCGACATTAACGATTCTAACCTTTGCCTTTTGATTCCAGTACAGATTGACAATAACCCGTATATCTCGACTATCCACATTCTTTTCTTTTAACAGTTTTACGAGTTTCTGATGTCGTACTTATCAAAAGCCTTTTGATAATTTATAAAGCAGACATAGAGATCCTGGTTCATATCTAGTCGTCTTTGCGCGAGAACGTTAAAAGCAAACAGAACCTCTCTCGTTCCTAGTCCTACTCTGAATCCAAACTGGGTGTCATCTATATCTTCTTCTATTTTTTTGTATAGTCTTCCATGTATTATTTTGAGAAATGGCTTAAGTGTGTGGCTTATTAAGGAAATTGTTTTGTACTGGGAGCATTCTGTCGCATGTACTGACTTTGGTAGTGTACAAACGTGGACAGCAACCAATCTTGCTGTGTTTCTTCGTCAATGCATTTAATTAGTTTAATTAGCTCAGTGGGTATCTAATCTGGGCCTACTGATTTTGCGATCTTTGCATTTCTATTTGCCTGTTATTATTATTATTTTGGTCCTGTTTGTTCCTGTGGTTTTTCTTGCATCATTCTATCATCGTCGAATAGTTTTCTTATGTATTCATGCCAAAATCTTAGTTTATCTTTTATGTCTGCAATGAGTTTACCATTATCATCTTTGAGTATCCCTAGTGTGCTTGCTTTTTGGTATTTGTTAGTTATTTTATTTCGTTAGTATTTCTTCGTGTTAGTAAGATCGTAGATAGGTGTATTGACATTAAAAAATGTACTTTAAGTAAAAAGTTTTCCTAAATAATAAATTAAGGGATCTGTCAGCAGATGTTAGCATAGGTTAGACTATGGTGGACATGAATATATAACGGTCTTCTATAAATTAAAACAAAGTTTTCCTGAACCTTCATATACATAAATCTAGTATGTGTAAACATTGAGAATATTAGAACAAAAACTGCAAAAGTTTTTGAATGATTAGCAGCAAATATTATGTATTTAATTGTTCTTAAGAATATAGGATGGAATGGAGAAGAGAAGTGGCGTTTGCATTTATATTAAATAGCCGTCTTGCGTTTTTCATTCAATACAGGCTACTTTAAACTGTATGCCTCTTTAACTATTTTTTCATTTTTTCAATGATTCTATCCTTACTTTCCATTGCATTTTTTCCAGTTCCATTCTCTATCAAGTATCGGAATCATGGATCTTGATCAGTCTGCTGGAAAGAGATGTATAGATGGGAGATTCTGTCGTAAAGAAAAACAGATGACTAATAATGTTTTGAATTACTTTGCAAAAACCATTTATATAAATATAACTGCAAAAGATCAGCAGTTATTACTTGATAGGGTGAATAGCATAGGTAAAAAATATGGCCTCAAAATCAACATTTTGATAACGAAATATATGGTCATTAGCAGAAACCCTCCAGAAAACCCGATATTATGCATAGATGACAATCGTATAAATCGCGTGAAAACTTTTAAATACCTTGGCACCACAATCAATGACCAATCGGATCCACA